CCCTAAATCTGTTATCGAAGAGCTGTTCCTGTTCTCCTGATGGGCTCGGCCTTGGCCAGCTGCATTGCCTTTGGTTTCCTTTCTTGGAGGTGATGAAGAGAATAAGCCAGTGATTGCAGGAACCTCTGAGCCAGCCAAAGGGACCTGGGACCTGCTCTTGGAAGATGGATTTATAAATGTATCAGGAATTGTTGATATTTTTTGGTCTGTGTTTGTCCTAGCCACCTGCAAAAGTTTTGTTCTTTGCCTGCGAAGTTCACTGATAAACGGGAGCTTCGTCCTTGGAGAGAGAGTTTCTTGTTTTAATTGGTGTTCTGTGATTGGCTAGTTGTGTGTAGAGGACATTTGAAGGAGAAACTGAAGAGAAGAGGATGAAGTAAGACCCCCAGACCCAAACAGATCAGACCCCTCAAATGAAACAGCGCATGCGTGAGGGGAATTCCAAAGTATTCCCACATGCGCTGAAGGGGTGCACTTATAGAACCAAGGGGGTGGACTGAGAACTTTGGGAGCTTTGCTTCACACAAAGGACCATTTGTCTCTAGCAGGGACGCCTGCACGTGTGAGCAATCACCCCTCCGAGGGACGCAGCTGCTGTAGGGGTTTCTATGATATGGGGAGTGGGTGAGATAACTTTCTTAGTGACCCCTGGGTGAGTCGGGTGTTTCATATTCTTATTGTTCTCTTTCTCTCAGGTGCCCGTTTCTTTTTTCCCCGGCCACCTTTGGAAATAATCATTGGGTTTTATTTTTGAGTTCACAGCAGTGTCTTGGTTTTCAGTCTCAGCATCCTTTCGAACTCACCCTGTTACAGATGTCACTGGTCCCCAAAGATTTCTCTGCTGTCCCTGTGATGTCACCACAGTCCTCTGTGATGTCACCAATGTTCCAATAATGTCACCACCATCCCCTGTGATGTCACCCATGTCTTCGATGATGTCACTGGTGTCTCTGTGATGTCACCCCGGCCTTGTGAAGTCACCAATGTTCCCTGTGATGGGAAAGATGTCCCCATTAATGTCACTGGTGTCTCTATGGTGTCATCACTGTCCCCTGTGATGTCAACAATGTCCCCAAAGATGTCTTGTTGTCTCTGTGATGTCACCACTGTGCTGAGCCGTAGCACCATGTCCCCCTTATGTCACCAATGGCAGTGATGTCCCTGTGACATCACAACTGTCCCTTTGCTGTCAACAGTCCTCTGTGATGTCACTGGTCCCCAATGAGGTCACTTATCCCCCTGTGATGTCACCAGTGTCCACTGTGATGTCAGCAGTTACCCTGATGATGTCATTGTAATGTCATCCCTTTCCTTGTGAAGTCACCGATGTCCCCTGTGATGTCACCGATGTCCCTGTGACATCACAACTGTCCCTTTGTTGTCAGCAGACCCCTGTGACGTTACTGGTCCCCAATGATGTCACTGCAGTCTCTGTGATGTCACCACTGTCCCCTGCGGTTTCACCTATGTCCCCGATGATGTCACTGCTGTCTCTGTAATGTCACCCTTGTCCTTGTGAAGTCACCCATGTCCCCACTGATATCACCATTGTCACTGTGATATCACAACTGTCCCTTTGTTTTCACCAGTTCCCTGTGCTGTCACTGCTCCCCAACGATTTTACCGATGACCCTGTGATGTCACCAGTGTCAACGATGATGTCACTGGTGTCTCTGTGATGTCATTGATGTCACTGTGACATCAGGACTTCCCATTATTCTCACCAGTGTCCTGTGATGTCACTGGTCCCAAATGATTTCACTGCTGTCCCTGTGATGTCACTACTGTCCCCCGCGGTGTCACCATATCCCCATGATGTTAACAATTTCCCAATGACATCACGGCTGTCCTCTTTGTTTTCACCAGTGACCTGTGATGTCACTGGTCCTCAGTGATGTCACCCATCTCCCTGTGATGTCACCAGACACCTTTGATGTCAGTGATGTCCCTGTGACATCGCAGCTGTCCCTTTCTTGTCACCAATCATCTGGAACGTCACTGGTCCCCAGTGATATCACCCATGTCCATGTGACGTCACCACTGTCCCCTGTGGTGCCACCAATGTCCCCGATGATGTCACTGCCGTCTCTGTAAGGTCACCCTTGTCCCTGTGATGTCACCAGTGCCCCTGATGATGTCACTGGTGTCTCTATGATGTCAACTCTCTCCTTGTGAATTTACCGATATCCCTCTGACATCACAACTCTCCCTTTGCTGTCAGCATTCTCCTATGATGTCACTGGTCCCCAATAATGTCAGTGCTGTCGCTGTGATTTCACCACTGTCCACAACAGGACCATCATTTCCCTGTGATGTGACTGATGTCCCTGTGATGTCACCATTGTATCTGATGACATCACTTGTGACTCTGTGATGTCACCATGGTTCTGTGATGTCACCGATGTCCCTATGATGTCACCACTACCCCGTGATGTCACCAGTGTCACCAATAATGTCACTGGTGTCTCTGTGATGTCACCCCTGGCCTTGTGAAGTCATTGATGTCCCCTGTGATGTCACAGATGACCCGTTAATGTCACTGGTGTCTCTATGGTGTCATCACTGTCCCCTGTGATGTCAGCAATGTCCCCAATGATGTCACTGCTGTCTCTGTGATGTCACCGCCATGTAGCGGATGTGCCTGAGACATCACTGCTGTCTCTTTGTTGTTATCAGTCCCCTGTGATTTCACTGTTTCCCAATGATGTAACCTCTGTCCCTGTGAGGTCAGCACTGTCCCCTGTGATGTCACCAATGTCCTCGATGATTTCATTGATATCTCTATAATATCAACCTTGTCCTTCTGAAGACATCGATGTCCCTGTGACATCAGGGTTGTCCCTTTGTTGTCAACAGTCCCATGTTGTGTCACTGGTCCCAAATGATATCACCAATGTCCCTGTGATGGCACCACTGTCCCCTGTGATGTCAGCAATGACCCCGATGATGTCAGGGATGTCTCTGTGATGTCACCCTTGACCTTGTGAAGTCACTGAGGTCCTCTATGATGTCACGAATGTCCCTGTAACATCACAGCTTTCCCTGTGTTGTCAGTAGTCCCCTGTGATGTCAATGGTCCCCAGTGATGTCACTGCTGTCTCTGTGATGTCACCACTATGTCCCTGTGAGGTCAACAATGGCCCTGTGATGTCACCAGATACCTTTGACTTCACCAATGTCCCTGTGACATCATGGTTGTCCCTTTGTTTTCACCAGTCCCCCATGATGTCACTGGTCTTCAGTGATGTCACTGCTGTCTCTGTGATTTCATCCCTGTCCCTGTGATGTCACCGATGTCCCTGTGACAACAGGGCTTAGCCTTTGTTCTCATTAGTCCCCTGTGATGTCACTGGTCCCCAATGATATCACTGCTGTCCCTCTTATGCCACCACTGACATCAGCGGCAGCACCTTGTCCCTGTGATTTCTCCAATGTCCCTGTAATGTCACCAGTCCTTTGTAATGTCACCAGTCCCCTGTGATGTCACCGTTGGCCCTTGTGATGTCAGCAATATCCCCGATTACATAAATGGTGTCTCTGCGATGTCACCCCTGTACTTGTGAAGTCACCTACATCCCATGTGATGTCACCAATGTCCCTGTGACATCATGGCTGTCCCTTTGTTGTCACCTATCCCCTGTGACCTCACTGGTCCCAAATGATGTCACTGCTGTCCCTGTGATTCCACCACTGTTCCCACCGGTGGCACCATGTCCCCGTGATGTGACCGATGTCCCTGTGATGTCACCAGACCCCTGTGATTTCACCAATATTCTCAATGATGTCATTGATGTCACTGTAATTTCACCTCTGCCCTTGCGAAGTCATCAATGTCCTATTTGATGTCACTGATTTCCCTGTGACATCACAACTATCCTTTCATTGTCTCCAGTCCCCTGTGATGTCACTGGTCCTCAATGATGTCACTGTTTTCCCTGTGGTGTCACCACTGTCCCCAGCAGTGGCACCTTGTCCCCGTGATGTCACTGATGTCCCTGTGATGTCACCAGACCTCTGTGACATCAATGTTAGGTCTGTGGCATCACAGTTATCCTTTAATTGTCATCAGTCCCCTGTGATGTCACTGGTTTTTAATGATATCACTGCTGTCTCTGTGATGTCAACACTGTCCCCAGATATGGCACCAATGTCCCTGTGATTTCACCAATGTCCCTGTGACATCACAGCCATCCCTTTCTTGTCACCAGCCCCCTGTGATGTCACTGTACCCAATGATGTCACCGCTGTCCCTGTGATGTCACCACTGTCCCCTGTGACATCAGCAATGTCCCTGATCAAGTCACTGGTGTCTCTGTAATGTCAACTCTGTCTCTGTAAAGTCACCGATGTCCCTGTGACATCAGGGTTGTCTCTTTGTTTTCAACACTCTCCTGGGATGTCTCTCGTCCCCAGTGATGTCATCAACATTCCTGTGATGGCATCACTGTCCCCTGTGATGTCACCAGTGTCCTAGATGATGTCACTGTTGTCTCTGTGATGTCACCCACATTGTTGTTATGTCAGTGATGTCCCCTGAGACATCACAGCTGTCCCTTTGTTTTCAACATTCCCCTGTGATGTCACTGGTACAGAATGATGTCACTACTTTCCCTGTGATGTCACCAATGTCTTCTGTTATGTCACCATTGTACCCAGTGATATCACTGGTGACTCTGTGATGTTACCCCTGTCCCCTGCGACTTCACTGATGTTACTGTGACATCACAACTGTCTCTTTGTTGTCACCAGTACCCTATGATGTCACTGGTCCCCAAATGATGTCACTGCTGTCCCTGTGATTTCACTACTGTCCCCAGAACTGTCACCAAGTTCCCATGATGTTAAGGATTTCCCAATGACATCACAGCTTGTCCCAGGTAAGACTTGGCTCCCAGCCAAGTGCCTGGACCTCAGGGACAAAACCTTCCCCCTCCCTCTCACTCTCGTGTAATTGATCGAAAAGATCACGAAAAAGAAAATCAAAAGAACCCAAACCGAACTGAATTTTAAGTGGAAGATTTATATATAAAAAGAAAATTATATACAGGGAACCCCCTAAAGGGGGAAAGGGAAGGGAAAGGGAAAAGGAAAAAGGGATAAAAAGGGATACAATGCAAATACTTCCCTCCAGAGATAGCGAACCACACCACACAACCACCGGCACGCTCTGCCTCTCAAGGCCAACCAGATGCGCTAGGCCTCACTCCCTCACCCGGGCAGAGCGACAGCAAAGCTACCTTCGCCTTCGGTCCACCGGAAGAAAGAGAGCGAGAGTTTCCTCTCTCTTCTTATTTATACTCTTGCTTACGTAAAAATCGTATGGAATACTGGGAACATGTCCTTGGTTCCTTGGTTACAACCTGGTCACCAAGGAAGGCCTAGTCTGAAAACTACTACATTCTCCACCCCTTATTCCATACTATTTTTACGTAACACTTATATGTCATGTATTTGCTTATATCCCGCGTATATATACACATATTTATATATATAGTCCTTTGGAGTAGTTGTCTTGTGGTAGAAGATCGGCATTCAGCATCAACAGTAGCTCGGTTCAGATCCTTGGTACTTTGATTGCAATCACAGTTCAGGTTTAGGACTGGTTCACTGTCTCATTGTCAGATACAGGTATCAGCTTTGGTCAGGTCTCTCTCATTTGGCGACTGGTCTCCTGTAAAACAACTCGAAGCACAAAGTTAGTTTTTCCCCAAGGATAAATTTCCTTGAGGCACACACTGTATCTTTCCATCCTTCCTCATCACCCACCAGGTGTACTGGTGTGTTCGTTGGCACAAAACAGTGAAAATGCAAAGCTAAACACACAATGTAGCCTGACTTTGTCCCTGAGTGGGGGATGAGAATTGGACACAAAATTTACAGGGACAGAGGGAGGGGTTTGTCCCCCTGGCCCTCCCTGGAAGGGTCACCTTTCAGGAAGTGTTGTGGCCTTGACTGTGCTGAGTGTTGAGCCGGGCAATGCAACGTGTGATTGCAGTGGCACTGTCAGGGCTCTGAAGAGCCCCTCTGAGTTCCTGCCTTTGTCCCCAGCAATCCCAGAGAACTGCAGGGGCTGCATTCAATGCCTTGTGCTCTTGGTGACCCCGGCTGGCTCTTGGGAATGGGAGCAGGCCTGGAGTTCCCAGACTGTTCCTTGCTCCAGGGTGGGACCTGCAGTGCCGTTTTTGCAGCATTCCATTGGCGCAGTGGGCAGGATGGCCATGGATCCATTCCTGCACAATCGTGCTTCATCCCAGGCAGGGATACAATGGGCCCACAAATGTTGGAAGGATGAGAACAAGGGAGTTTTGGCACTGTGGAACCCCAGGGAACCAAAGGAACCCTGGGACATGGCAGAATCTCATGGAAGAAAGGGCACATCTTGACCCTGCAGCACCTCCTGGAACCAAAGGGAGTCTGGGACGAGGCAGGACCTGATGGAAACAAAGGAACTTTATGGGAATAAAGGGATCCCAAAAACTACCAAAAGTCAGGGAGAAAAGGGAACCTTGTGGAATCTCCTGGAATCCAGGGGGCATTGTAATCCACTGGGGCCTCCTGGAACCAAAGGGAACATGTGACACTGCGGAACCTCATGGGATCAAAAGGACCCCGGGACTTTGTGGAACGTCAGGGAATCAAGGGACCAGTGTGACATCACATAACCTTTGGGAACCAACGGGACCTTGTGGAATCTCATGGAATCAAGGGACCATTGTGGCATTGTGGAACCTCACAGAATTCAGGGGCCATTCTGATTCTGTAAGGCTTATGGAGTCAAAGGGACCATTGTGACACTGGAGAAAATGATGGAATCAGTGGGCCATTGTCACACTGCAGGGCCTTATGGAGGCAAGGAACGTTGGAAACAGTGCAAACTCATGGAATCAAGGAACCACTGTCACACTGCAAAGCCTCAAGAAATAAGCGATCCAATCTTTGCCTCAGATTTTGTCAACAAATTAAATTTAAGGAATTCCAGAAGTGTGATTGAACCACTTTTGTCCCACAGGTTTTAATGATTGGCAAAAGAACAGTATTTAGATAAAATAAATAATTTATTCTTACAAATGATCAGACAAAAGACCTTATCAGAATTATTTACTACACAGTACGAAGGCTAAAACTACCAGTAGTACAATATAAGACAGGATAGTGCACTATACTGAAGTAATTCTTGAAACAATTCTATTAAAGCTAGCAAAAAAAAATAATTGTTATGTAGAGTTCTGGTGTCACTCACCCAGACCAACGGTCTTGGGGAGATTTCTTTTGCTCAGCCTTGAGGAGTGTCCTTGGAGGGCGTCCCCAGCTAAGGCAGGAATCTCCACACATACACCCCAAGAAGGGTTCTGTTAGAAGAAGCTGCCTGTAGGAAAGGGGACTGGACTGCTCTGGTATGAAGGGAGTGACTGCTCCTCACAAATGTCCAGGCCAGTTACCAGCTTCTCTGTCACATGCAAGTTCAAAAAGCAGGATGAGTGTTTGGAGTTTGGTGAACCAGGACGGTTTGAGCATCATTCAACCCCAAAAACATTCCCATGGTGCCACTGGTAGCTCCCAGATCTCCCAGAGAGCTTGCAGGAGACCTTGCACTGATGGCATTGTCTGATGGGATTTTAGGCCTTCTCAGGGTAGGCCCTCCTGCAGCACGGGTAGAGAGGTTGGCTGTGAAAGTCCATCCTGGAGATGCACAGGTACCCAAGAGTTGGGCTACGGAGTGACATCCAACATAGATCAAAGTGTCTCAGGTAGAGCTGGACTGGCAACACAAGGGGGAATTCTTCCTGACTCGGTGGGCCTGTGACACCTCAGGTCCTCAGGGCAGGTGTGAAACACACAGTTGGGCTTGTGATCCAGGGGTGGATTTACCCATGGACACCACCTGCCAGCTTATCCAGAACTGTGAAATGTCCTGCCATCAAACAGGCCAAGAGGGTAAAGCCCCTGTGGTGTGGGGGATGATGGCTGAACTAGAGATGTGGGGAGGCCTGGCAGATTGATCCCAGCACACTCCTCAAACCCACCAAGGCAAGCTCTCTGTGCTGAAAATAGTGAACACAACCCCTGGAGTGCAGGAGACACACCCTGTGCTTCACAGCACTGCCCACAACACCATCCTGGACCTGGAAAAGCAAGTCCTGTGGAGACATGGCACTCCAGAAAAACTGGAGTTGGGCAGCAGGACTCCTCTCAGAAATAACCCTGTGGACAGCTGGGCCAGAGAGCTGGGCATGCAGTGGATGTATCCTATTCCCTGTCCTGCACCAGCCTCGGGGAAAGTTGAATGGTAGAGTGGACTGTTAAAACCACATGGAAAGCAATGGGCAGTGGGACCTTCATACTCTGGGATCTGCATTTAGCAAAAGCCATCTAGTTAGTTAATACTGGAACCTGAAGAGAGAAATCTCCAGGCCAGTTTAGTGTGTAAGAGAAGCTAAAAAGAGCAGGTCCTTTAAGCAGGCCCACAGGCCTGGGGGAACACACACGACGTGTCCTCCCAGGCAATGGTTCGACAGTTGTATAAGATGGTCCGTCCAACCCCAGAACTATCCACCCCCTTGTCCTGCCCCCCAACATGCCCCAATTGGGTTTGGGGTCTTTGGGACCCCTTCTTCCTCATCTTGATCTTCTTCACAGCATGTCCAGTCCTTGGAGCGCCTCCAAAGTTCTGGCTTTGAAGGTTCTGTTGTGGTATCTTGTTGTCCAGGCCTGGGGTGCCTTGAGAAAGTTTGATATTGAAATGGTTTGACCCTGGCAAGATACCAGAGGCTTCTTAAAACCACTTTACTACCTCTTCTTCTCCCCTCTGCATTTGGACAGAGGAGAGTAAAAAAACTGTAAAGGAATTTTCATGAGTAGAGATCAGGATTGAGAGAAAGGCCATTATTATCAGACAAAACAAATTCAGAGTACAGATAAAACTTAGATTTATTACTAACAGACTAAAGAAAAAAAAAAGCTAAATTCAGTGCTAACAGAATAAGAGCTAAAGAGTAAAAGAATAAAACTGTCTTAAAACAAAACACCTTCTTCCCCTCCCCCTCCCATCTTTCTTTCTCAGCTGTTCCTTCCCCCCCAACGGTGCAGGAGAACTGGGGGGGGTGTGGTTTGCAGTCCAAATATTGTTGTTTTCCATTCTTTGGGTAGCAGCATCTTTTATAATCAGCTTTTTGCAGTCCAAAGATCTTCTATGGTTACAAGGGGACTCATATTACCATAGTCTTTAGCACAGGGGGTAATGGCTCTGAGTCCTTTCCCTGTTTCCAGGGCGGTCCCTTCCCACGGGAGACAGTCCTTGACAGATCTCTCCAGAGGGAGTCCATCCACCCCTCTGACAACAATTTGTTTCAATTGTTGCCCCGTGGATGACTCCCCAAGGGGGTGCAGTCCTTCATGGGTTGAGCTGTATCCATGTGGGAATCCTCCCAGGGCTACAAGTTCTACCTGGGAAAACTTGCTTGCAGCCGTGGGCGTCCCTCTCCATGGGCCACAGGTCTCCAGCAGAGCTTGGCTCCATTGCAGGCCTCCCACACGGTTATGACTTCTTCCATGTATCTACCTGCTCCAATATGGACTTCTCCAGAGACTGCAGGAAGGTTTCTACACCCTGAAAGTCTTTCATGGGCTGCAGGGACTTCAGCTTTGCCCTGTTTCTGGGGAAGAGGGAGGGGGAAGGCCACCCCATCTTTGCCCACCCTCCTGCCGCAATGACCTTGGTGACTGCTTGCTCTCTCTCGGACTGGAATTTCTTCTGTGCCACACAGCATTCTCTTCCTCTGTTCTTCAATATGTGCTCACAGAAGCGCATTTTCATTGGCTCAGCCTTGGCCAGGAGCAGGAAATTCACCTGGAGCTGACTATCTTTGACTTTTCATAGGCCAGTGAAAGCTTCCAGTAGCTTCTGACTGAAACCACTCTATAGCCCCTTCTGGCTATTAAAACCCATGACACTCTGCCAGGGGTGGAGTCTCTTGCCACAAGGAACTGCGGTGCTGAGATATTCCTTCTCCTGCTCCTGCCATACTGCATGGGGAGAGAGCCCTGGCCTTGGGAACACCTGCTTTTGCTGAAGGAGACAACCCCCTGCACGTTGCTGCCCAGGATCCTGATGTGGCACTGCCGCAGCTTCCTGGGAGCCATTGCTTGGGCACCGGTGTCTCGGGGACAGGAGCTGCTGGGCCACCTGCTCCTGGCAATGCCTCACTGCAATGGCCTGGGCTCCCACTCTTCCTTGCAGCCTTTTCCTGCCCATGTGCATGTTCAGCCAGGAGCGGGCTCTGCTGACAACCGCAGCTCAAAGGAAGCAGGAACTCTCATCCACGGAGATTTCTCCATCTGCAGGTCAACAGGTCTCACCGACACTCTGGCAGGATGAAGGCTCTGGCCAGAAGTAATGCAGGTGTGCAGGAGATATTCCCTTTCTTGGTCCTCCACAGATGGAGAAATAGAGCACCCTGGAGATGGGAACAGCTGCCTTTCCCACTGGAGGATCTTGTCCAGCACCTTCCCATATGGCACTGCCATAGCGTCCGTGGAGCCATGGACTGGGCACTGGCAGCATCCCCTTGCTAGTCTGTCATTCTCTCTGCACAGCTTTGTCTAAATCTTCCTGTTGGTTTCCCATTCCAGGTGCACTGGAATACAGGCACTTCAGGAATGATCCCAGGGGGACAGTCCATAATCCTGTCTTGTAGACTCATGAGAAGAAGAAAGCTCTACTGAACAGAAGTAAAAGAGACACAAAAATCTAGGAAAATATTTACCAGTCTCATCTTAAAACAGAAGTCAAAACAGTGCAATAGAACATCGAACCAACTACAGTTTTCGTGACAGCTTTGATACAGCTTGGAAGTCAGAGTTTGAACCAGGAATTGCAAAATATCCATGTACTGCTCCTAGCAAGTTTTATTAAACTCTTCCTTTCTATTTCTGTCCTGCTTTCTGGCATACAAAGTTTGTCTGCAGGTCAAAGAAGGACAGACTTGTCCCAGGTTAGACTTGGCTCCCAGCCAAGTGCCTGGACCTCAGGGACAAAACCTTCCCCTTCCCTCTCGCTCTCGTGCAATTGATAGAAAAGATCACAAAAAAGAAAATTAAAAGAACCCAAACTGAACTGAATTTTAAGTGGAAGATTTATATATATAAAGAAAATTATATACAGGGAACCCCCCAAAGGGGAAAAGGGAAGGCAAAGGGAAAAGGAAAAAGGAATATAAAGGGATATAACACAAATACTTCTCTCCAGAGATAGCGAACCACACCACACAACCGCCGGCACTCTCTGCCTCTCAAGGCCAACCAGATGCGCTAGGCCTCACTCCCTCGCCCGGGCAGAGAGACAGCAAAGCTACCTTGGCCTTCGGTCCACCGGAAGAAAGAGAGTGAGAGTTTCCTCTCTCTTCTTATTTATACTCTTGCTTACGTAAAAATCGTATGGAATACTGGGAACATGGCCTTGGTTCCCTGGTTACAACCTGGTCACCAAGGAAGGCCTAGTCTTAAAACTACTACATTCTCCACCCCTTATTCCATACTATTTTTACGTAACACTTATATGTCATGTATTTGTTTATATCCCGCGTATATATACACATATTTATATATATAGTCTTTTGGAGTAGTTGTCTTGTGGTAGAAGATCGGTTTCAGCATCAACAGTAGCTCGGTTCAGATTCTTGGCACTTTGGTTACAATCACAGTTCAGGTTTAGGACTGGTTCACTGTCTCATCGTCAGATACCGGTATCAGCTTTGGTCAGGTCTCTCTCATTTGGCGACTGGTCTCCTGTAAAACAACTTGAAGCACAAAGTTAGTTTTTCCTCAAGGATAAATTTCCTTGAGGCACACACTGTATCTTTCCATCCTTCCTCATCACCCACCAGGTGTACCCTGGCCCTTGAGCAAAAACAACTCCACGAATGGGTTTGTCCTGGCCCGAGGTAGGGGTAACCCAAACGGCTTTACCCAACATACCTCTCAGGTGAATCACTGGAACTTTGTCTCCATCTACAGTGTGGACGGATTCTGCTTGGGCAGGGCCAGCTCGATTGATAGAGCCTCTAGTATTTACCAACCAGGTGGCCTTGGCTAGGTGCTTATCCCAGTTCTTAAATTTTCCCTCACATAGTTCTTTTAAAGTTGTTTTTAACAGTCCATTCTACCTTTCAATTTTCCCAGCAGCAGGTGCATGATATGGAATGTGATAGACCCATTCAATACCATGCTCTCGTGTCTACGTGGCCACTAGATTATTCTTTGTCTGACTTAATTCGCTCTGGAGTGTCATGTCTCCATAAGACCTGCTTCTTAAGACCCAGAATGGTATTTCGGGCCGTTGCATGGGGCACTGAATATGTCTCCAACCATCCAGTGGTTGCTTCCACCATGGTAAGCACGTAACGCTTACCCTGGCGGGTCTGTGGCAACGTGATATAATCGACCTGCCATGCTTCTCCGTATCTATATTTGTCCCAGCGTCCACCATACCATAGGGGTTTCAATCTTCTCTCCTGCTTGATAGCAGCACAGGTTTCACAGTCATGGATAACCTGGGAAATAGTGTCCATGGTTAAATCCACCCCTCGGTCTCGTGCCCATCTCAGCCCTGATGACCTGAAGCATCGTGGGCCCATCTGGCTAGGAACAACTCTCCCTTATGTTGCCAGTCCAGGTCTATTTGTGACACTTCAATTTGTGCAGCTCTATCCGCTTCTCTGTTGTTACGATGTTCTTCGTTGGCTCGACTCTTGGGTACATGGGCATCTACATGGCGGACTTTCACATCTAGTTTCTTTACTCTAGAAGCAATGTCCTGCCACAAATCAGCAGTCCATATAGGTCTTTCTCTACGCTTCCAACTTATGTTTTTCCATCGCTCTAGCTATCCCCATAGGGTATTGGCTATCATCCATGAGTCGGTGTAGAGGTAGAGCCTTGGTCATCCTTCAACAGAAGGATCTTCTGAGAGACCAGGCAGGGCAGACAATTGTTTGGATTTCTCCTCAGTCACTGTGGCTACACCGAAAGCCCATCGGTACCCCTTCGGGTTCTTGAAGTATCCTCTTCTCAGGTAATCAATACCAAGGATACAGGGGGCTTCTGGCCCTGTCACAATGGGATGCTTTTCCCATTGGTCTCCAGTCAAGCTTACTTCGGCCTCTACCACTGACAACTCTTGCGACCCTCCTGTCACTCCAGAAATAGACACAGTCTCCATAGTCTTGTGTTCAGATGGCATTA